GGCTGGGTTTTTTTTTTTTTTTCCCATCCCGGGTTGCTGCGGTAGGATTAGAGGCAAACACGCCGTGGTAAAGATACGGTGCTTCCTGATGGCGCCCGTCGTAACGTGAGCCTTGGTGAGGCAAGTCGAGAAAAACGGGGTTGAGAAGGAAGCTTTCCTACCGAGGGCAGCAGGTTGTGTGCAGGGTGAGCAAAGGAGCGACCTGTCCTCGCTTCGGAGGCGCTAGCGCTGGTTTTAGTTTTCGTATTGAAAAATGCAGGTGCTGCTTGGTGAAATAATATATGTGGGTTACTGCTCTTTTGGCGAGATGTGACCAACTCCTTTAGTTAGGAAGATTGCATGTTCTGGTGAAGCAGATTATTTAAGAACTGTCGCAACTGAATGTGAGGTGTACTACTTCTTAAATACAGCAGCTGCATATTTGCTCTGTGGTTGGCACTAAACAGCCCTATTTGCTGCTGACCCCTTAATGATATTGAATGACAGCTGTCAGCTCCAGATAGAAACAGGCTGTTTGCTGAGTAGAGGATAGGTAGAGCGGAGCAGCCTGTCAGGTTTACAGAAGGAATTCCTTAAAAGCAACTCTGTTAACATAAGTCTGCTCTGTATGCGGTTCTTACCTGGTCTTTAAAAGTTAAAACAACTGAAAACAGAAAGGTGAGGTTTTGAGTTGGACTGTTTCACAGTTTCTCTAGGTAGTTAGGTCGCTTTTATGTGGCCAAAACATAAAATATCGTGTGAGGAGAGATTAAATTTGAAATATAAACTTATTTTTAAAGAAGTTAAGTTTTTCTCCTGGTCTGAGTCCTCAGCAGGTTTTTGTAGTAGTACAGTCATTCTTTTCATTGTAGAAAAAATGAGTTGTTACCAGAGGAAAGGCCTTAGGAATAAAAAGAGGAAATCAGGCTAATGAAATGAACATGAAGGGAAAGTATGAAGCTGTCTATGTAAAGTGATTCCAAATGTAGGATGCATTTGTTGTCTGAAGACATTTGTGCCTTATGGTGTCAGTTAATTTTGCGGTCCATTTTTGTATATATGCACTAATCCTTGTGAAATAATCTCTGTTTAAAATGATTTTCCATAACAGCATAAGCTACAGGAATGAGACATTTTTCCTTTTAGTTTGTTTGCAGTAACTGAGGTTTTTTTATTCTGACTTGACTTTGAAACAACTTGCATTATTAATCTCATGTACTGTTCTAATAAGAAAGTTCACGAGCACTGGAAAGAATAATATTTCTCTTAACCACCTGGTAGTAACTCCTGAAGCGAATATACTTCCTGCAGACAATTACTTTTTTTTTTTCCCCCTCTCTTGACATGTGATCACAGCTATAAAAAAGAAATTATCAGCAGAGATTCAGTTTCAGCTGGAGTTCTTGAGTACTTCACTTCCCATGTCTTTAGTGCTTGTAATGTAAATTATCTTTAATTCAAGAGTATGATATGAGGCCCAGGGTTTAAGATTAGAATTTCCTTAATGTCGGTCATGAGGTAGGAAGCGTGCCTTCTGTAGCACTGGTGTCTAAGTGGCTGTTTGGGATGCTGGTTTTACAGTACCTGTTTTGATTGTTTTTTTTCACCACTTTTGATTCTTAGGTGAGGCATCTATATATTTGCGATTTCCACAAGAATTTCATTCAAAGTGTCCGAAACAAAAGAAAGAGGAAGACAAGCGATGATGGAGGTGACTCTCCTGAGCATGAAACGGATGTTCCAGAGGTTAGTAGGGGTCTGAAGTGGGTGTAGGATGCTTTACCAATTTTGAGCATGTTGCCGTTTCACTTCTATGTTTTCAGATACATGAAAATTTCCAAATTTTAAATTTTTAGCTTAACTGAAACTGCTGTGGTTTTAAACTCAGTTTTCAGGAAGATTTTACTTGATATGTAATATTCCAGTTTTTATCCTCATCCCTGGATGAGTTCTTTGTCCGTATAAAGCTTTCTATGAAAAGAGGTACGATAATGTAACTGTACAGCTTCATGTACGTAGAGCTTCCGAACAGTGAGGTGTTAAAATAGGGTTTGGTGATAATCCTCTTTTAAAGGTTAAAATGAAATATTTTTAGCGATAACTGGGGCCCCAAATGGTTTTTTGTTATCTAGCATACATCATTTTGTAAATGATGTACCAGAGAGTCCGGTTGGTCCAGTCACTTTATGCTTGGGTAGATGGTATCCAGAGATACTAAGCTTCTCCAGACCTTTGCATACAGTATTTTGGTACTATTTAAAACTACCTTCAAATCACAGACCATATTCCTAACATCTTTTTATTTTGACGAAAATAAATCTATTGTTACAAAGCACTACAGTAATCTCTTTTCTGTGCTATTGTTCACAGTGTTTGCTCTGATGATGTTTCTGGTACTGTTGACATTGCAGAAAGTTGTGCAAAGGTGATGTTTGCAGAGGAGCCCGGCTCCAGCCGCATCGGCAGAGCCCCCTGCTGGAGGTGCCACGGAGGCTGGCACAAGGCATTTTTCTTTTGAAAAAGCTAGAACTGTTTTGTAGGCAAAGCTATATCTGTGTTGGAGGTGCTGAATGTGTCACTCTGTTGTAGTTGTTCGTGCTCTTGTTCCATGGAGTTTTCTGTCAAAACTTTCTAATACAGGCTTTACCATAGTTACCAGAATGATTGCTGAAGAGCCAACTGGCATCTAAAAGCTTTAGTGCTGTAGAGCATGCGGGCTGTTTGATAGTTGAAAACTGAGGATGCACATCACGTAACTCGACAGGGAGCTCTGCAGTGTATCAGTCATAATGTCGCGTTCTTCTTGGTTTTCAACAGAGTGTCCTTTTGTTTTTGAAGCATGGTATTGCCCATGTGATCTTCATCTTCCTTCCTGTAACCTCCCCCTGCTTTTAAGTGGTGCACTTCCCATTGAAATATTTGAATTTCATTTATTCTCTGTCCTTGTGTTCTGTTTTATGTTCCAAGCCATTTGTTCAGGGCCTGCTAAATTGATAACTCACGTGTGAGCTTTTTAAACCTTGTGGGAGCAAAAGGTTCCCCTTTGTTCAGAGGATGCAGAGGTGTAATTGAGAGCAGAAATTGGCCAGCAGTTCTGTTGACAGCATGTGAACCAGAACAAAATTTTGTATTTCCCTGAGGCTATTTTGGTCCTTCAGCATTAACAAGTACAAAATATACTTAGATTTGTCACTAAGGCAAGCCAATGCGGCTCTGAGTGTGGGCAAGAAACAGTTCTCTTGAGGAAGAAAGAGTTATATTTAGATAACTCTGCATTTCTGCTTAATAGAAGCTAAAGGTGGTGCTCATCCCCCTTCTCTGCATCACATCCAGGTTGACTTGTTCCAGCTCCAAGTGAATACGCTACGACGTTACAAGAGACACTATAAATTGCAGACTAGGCCTGGACTCAACAAGGCTCAACTAGCAGAAGTAAGTGATGACAGAAGCTGTGTTATCTCTGTTATTAAAAAAGCTGTTCTTTTTCCTCTGCTCAAATGCCATTTTCTTGGGCTCTAGTAACTTTAGTGACTCTCTCACTAGTTTGTGCTATGTGCTCTGCAGCAAGTTTCAGGGCGTGGCGTCAACAGAAGGCTGTATGCTTTCTTTCACCTAAGGCAATCATGGAAATCTTGAAGCTGCCTCTTGAAAGCATGTCTTAATAACTTGCTTTTCTCTGCTTCCTTTCCCTCCTTGTTTGTAGTCACAGTCAATTATAGTCACTTTCAGGAAACAGATCATAGTTTCTAGTGGCCTGGGTATTAGTCTCACTGAAACTCAAACTTACGTGCTAATAATCACTTTCAGTGTTTCTATTAGTTTTTCTTCCCTCACAGACTCTTGAACTTGTTGGAATTGTTAATTATTAAAGGCAAATCACTGACCGTGATTTCAGATTCCGTATTCCCCTCCCTTGTCCTGGCATTTTATAATTTTCTATTAAGTCAATAAAAGACTCTTTCCTTGGGGCCTCTACTGGTTCTTTCACACCGCATGGGATACTTGTTAAGAGCGTAACTCTGTTACTGGGGCTAGTTGTGCTTGGTGTGCATCTTGAGGTGGGCATCTGCTCTGTTCTTTCTCCTGACTTGATCTGAAGGCGTTCCCTGGAAAAAGTCACCTCTAAACTTGGAGGAACTGTACCAGTTACTGAATGGTAATGAATTTTGTTTTGGTTTGGTTTTGGTTTTTTGTTTTGTTTTGTTTTTAAGTAGATCTTTCACAACTGTCTGCACCAAGATTGAACTGTTTTGCTTTAAAAAAACTAAAACAAACAGACCAAAAATGCCAGCAAAACACTTTCTTGCTCCCTTTCAAAGTAGACTAGGGAATTAATGTACAGAATGTGTAGGGTAGTGCATGGAAAAATAAGGTGAATGAAGCAGGGTGGGTGTATGTCTTCATTAGCTGATCTGATTTGTCATGTTTTAACTAAACAGTTCATAGTCTCTGTTACCTCCTGCCATGAAGGACCACATACTTAGGCAATTTTCCGTGCATCTGCCTAGGAGAGAGGGGAAAAAGAAAAAACCTGCTATGCAAGCAGAAAGAGACCTTAAGGGGAGCCTAACTTAAAGTTGTCACACACTTCCCAGATTTCCTGTGAAGTCTGAGCAGCTGTGACCCTACGCTGGATCCTCGTCCAGCTCCCATGCTTGAATCACTGCTGCCTGAGGCTCTTAGACACCTGCTGCTAACCCACCGTAAGGAAAACTCAAACTTCCATAAATCTTCTTGGAGTGACTCATTGCTCAGCCTGCATCAAAATCCAGTTCTGGAGCTGTGTTGGGTACCAAAAAAGTGTTTCCTCCATACGAGAAGCAAATCTCCTCACCAGCTTCAAGATGTTTCTTACATTCCTTTTTCCAAGAATGAAACAGCTAACGTTTCAGGATTTGAAACCTGAACCTTGTCTCTCCCCTTGCAAATACCCTGTTCCTTTCAGTGAAAGCTTAACTAGTGCATTTACCTTTGTCCAAAGATTCTCGTTAGCTTCGCTGTTGATTCTAAATCTTTGCCGTATCTGGTTCACACAGAAGAGTGTTCCGATAACTCTGACATTCTCATTTGAAATACTGAGATAGAGGGAAAACTTGCTCTCCACATAATCTCGGCGTGAATGCCACTTAGGAGAGGCTATGCTGCTTTGGCAGGAGGACATTCTGGCTTCCAAATTCTGCTTGTAGGTTGGCTGCAAATACTGCTGACATAGCAAGACTATGTTCTCTTCATATGCCCGTTCCAGCTGTAAAGAGAGAGGTAAATGAGGACTGACAGTTTTGAATTGGTGCATGTTTGCCTAAAAGTTTATTAGGCTCAGTGGCCATGAAATCGGTTTTGGGAAGCGCAAAGAACCCCCAGTTAGGATTATTTCCAATTTTTAATTTCAGAATTTCTGTCTCTTTACATGTTGTCCTTCTAGACCGTCAGCCGTCACTTCAGGAATATTCCTGTGAATGAGAAAGAGACACTTGCTTATTTCATCTATATGGTGAAGAACAACAAGAGCAGGCTGGATCAGAAATCAGAAGGTAGCAAGCAACTAGAATGAAGATTAACAGAACTTGGAATAAGAGAGACCTTGAAGGAACAGATGGTATTGTGTGGTTTTAGGTATATAAAAACTGTTGAAGTATATTGTAAATTTTTTTAAATGCAGTAAGTCTGAATGACAGAAAATATAGACGTTCTTATCAGGAATATATGAAAACATGCACCTAGCATGTTTCTGAAGACTTTTTTTTCCCCTCATTTCAAAGTCACATTGGAATAAAGAAATGAGGATAATGGGGAAACAAAGTACATGTGTAGGACTGTGGAGTCTGTCACCTCGGTGTTTTAAACCATTTCTGGAAATCTGCATCTCAGTGCAATTTAGATCACAAATGGAATTCATTCACTGAATTCAGACTGCATCACAAAACCACCATGCAATTTACCTTGGCACAGGACTGGAATAGCAGCAGAGATAAAATTTGTAATCAAGGTGCATGGGTCAGAAGTTTATCTGAAGCTTGCTCCCCACCTCCCCACCTACACATGATCTGTCTCGCCTTGAGCCAATGCTTCAAGTCCCAAACTTCTACAAATGCTTCAGCTCACCAAATCTGCTCCAGTGAATGTTACTTGACCGGTCTGAAATTGATTTTTTTTCCCCCCTCCTTCCCTCCCTCCGCAACGTGGAAGCCAAACAACTCATTGAAATCATTTTTTTTCCTAATTTCTTTTATTTAAGAACTTGCTACTTAATTGTCTAAGCATTTGAGAACTTCTGTGTTTCCTCAGAATGTGGTATTAAGGCAAATGTAGCTTTATTTGCTGGGTTTGATCATGTTGATAGAAATGCTTATTTAACTCACTCAATTATGTGCGTTTCCCTCATATGCAAGGCTCAGCAATGATAGGTGGAACAGCAGGTTAAGACATCTGCCTTTTAATCTCTGCGTCAGATCAGGTATCAGTCACAAGTGATGTGACTTTTATATTGAAGTTAGACTTTAGCAGATGTCACAAAACTGCTGTGTAGATTAGTGCGCTCGGCAGTCTCCATTTAGCATAAAGCAGATTTATGCTACTGGGTGTAGCACCGTAACCAGAGTAGTGAACTAACTGGAGCATGTTGCATTTCATTGGTCTTTGCAAGTGGACAAAAAGTACTGAAGCACTCATCTCTTGTGAGCATTACATGTGCTTTCATAAGAATTCTGTGAAACAGAGGGTGGCATGCTGGTGCTCTTTAACTGGGCGCTGTAGGAGAAAATCACTCTGATTTTGTTATCTAAAGCCAAGGTGTCCTTACAAATACACAATGGTTATTTTGGCAAAAGAAGCTTACGGAAGTGTTGATTGTGAATGACTGTTCTCCAGTGACCTCAAATTTTATTCAAGGGGATCTTGCGATTTTTAAAGCACCACTCTGTTTCCTTGCTGTCCTAACCATTGTCTCCATTCTGTTACGAGATGCCAAGACTCCTCTTAGAGTGTATTCTCAACAAGCCTTAAGCAATGAACTGAACAGTGGAAAACCTTGGCTAGCATTTTGTCCATAGCACGTTCTAATATTCCAAAACTGGATGAAGCTTTGAAGAACTAAACTCACAGGTCAAAATCCCAATTCAGTACTGCATTACATGTTTTGTAAGGCATGAAGGGTTCACCCACTGAAACTCTTGTTGAAGCTCTCCTAGATCTCTTTACCAATCAAGTCACAATTTAAAGCAAGCTGTTTGCATCAGCTTTGAAATGTTTGCTAATATTCCAAATACACGTGCAACAGACTTCAACATTTTTAAGTCCTGTGTCATACGCAGAAATATTCTGTTATGGTACGTGTCCCATTTGTGAAGTTTTGAGGAGTGTGATCGTTTCAGCATTTCCTCATTCGACCCAGTGTGGATTTTAACAACATCAGACAGAAGAGGGGAGACTCAAGCTCAAGGAATGAGGAGAGAATATCTTGTGCCAGTATTCCATGAATGTTTAAAAATTTCCTGATTACGCTGATCCTTTCCTTATTGAAAGGATGGAGTAATTCCCACATTAGTCAACATGATCTGGCTTCTCTCATTCAGGACAGATGGTTAAGATGGTATGTTCTCTGAATGCATGTTAATCTTGAAAGCGTTCATGTACTTGGAGGATATTAGCAAGAGAAAATGAGCTTCTGAGTTGAGAGGGTATCGCCTCATCGTAACTTCTAGACCAAAATTGTAAAAATGCAGTTTGTTTGGGGGATTTCTTTTTCTGCTGTGGGCTTTTTTATTTCTAAGAGTAAATGAATCTGTTGCGGTGTTTTAGCAGCCAGCAGCAAAATGATTTTTTTTTCACACAAATATGGTGGCAGGTTCCATCTGTTCAGGTGTATTCACTGGTATGCTTTTGTGTGGAGGGGGGTATCCAGGAAACTTTTTTTTTTCTCTCTCCTCTGAAAATGGTCAATTGATGTAAAATGTCATTGTTGTTGGTTTCACTCTTAAAGCAATTATACTTTTTGAAAAAAAAAAAGTTAGTGAAGTGGGATGATGAAAAGATGTTTACCAGCCATTAGCAGTCGTTTATAAGGTGGTAAGCTTGGAGGCAAGACACCAAAGAAACAGAAGAATCTTTGGCTGTCAGACCTCATGGCCTTGTAAACCCTTGCAAATGCCTTATTATCTTGTTCGCAACTCAGCTAGAGCAAAAAGCCTTTAGCAAAAGAAAGCCGATGTCTTGTTGGAAGGGTTAGCCACTTTGTGGCTGCCATGCTATAAACTGCAATCACACGTCAATTCAGTAGCAATATCCATGTTCAGGGTGCCTGTGATTCTTGAAAAGCATTTAGTGTCTAATAACCAGAAAACGCAACAATGCAATTGTCATTCTGTGTAATACCATTCTGTGTTTTTGATTCCTTATGCTGCATGCCAATTAAAAATACTTTCCAACTTTTTTTTTTCTAAGAAAAGAAAAAAAGAAATTCAAGTAAATGTGTTTGAACCTCACACATGTGAAGCCATGAGGTAGGATATTTTGTCAGCACTTTTAGATGGGACTGGTTGGAAAAGGAAGACGCAAATTGCTTTGGCTGGCATGATGAGACTTTTTTTTTCCTTTTGCATTTTGTTTTTCACAAATGGGCCTTAAATTCTATCTAGCTTTGAACCATGGAGCACAAGCCTTGGGGGCAGGGAGGACGACCACATGTCACCTTCTACCTATACTACTGGACGCTTATTTCTTACAAGCCTGCATAGGTGACATTCACCCTGGGGCAGAGGAATCTTCTTTAAAGCCCTCCAGCCATTACATAGCCTATTTCAATTACATAGCCTAATTCAATTCTCATTGAAGAGCTGCATTAACTTCATTAGACTTTTGATCAGAGCCGAAGCCATTAGTATAAAATACAAATAATGTGGAAACTGAGCCTCTTCCAGGCTCAGTTTTATCCTGTATGCTGACCCTTTGCTCATCTTAAGGGAAGAAGAAATAATTATTGCTGGTAATTATTGGCTTGAGCTCAACTCAAGGGAGTTTGAAGTGCATGAAGACTTGAGCTGGTAGCAATTTGATGGCTGAAAAGTGCAAATATATCCAAGGAGACTCTGTTTGCATGCAGTTTTCATAAATCTCTGCATCTCAAGGAATATTGTATATCAACTTGAAGTAAACAATTGCATTAAAAGATAATGTTTCTTTTGCCAGGCACTTTGGATGTTTGGACTGAGAAAAGGAGAGCAGGCAGGTTTGTACCACTTGCCCCCAATACTATGGTGTCCGATTTGTCTTAGAAACGTGGCTGTAAACCATTAGGTACCCTGGTGTGCAAGACTTAACCAAAATACATGAAGTCTTCATTAAAAGTTAGTCCTGAGTGCAGACCGGTTTCAGAGGCTTTGAAATCAAGAGCCGAAATAAGGCACAGTAAGAGTGTGTTTCAAGCAGGTCATGATAGCAAAGAGAAGATGAAACAGAACACGGTCCCTGGAGAGACTGAATGAAACGCTTCCGCTGTTAGCAGCGTGGGGGAAGATTTGTTCTGTGTTAACTTTTGCAATGGATCTTTAATGAGAGAAGAAGGGGGAAGCTGTGCACTTTATGTCTTTTGGTTGAGCCAAATGTGAATACCAATGGGAGATCTTCAGCAGTAACTGCAGTTGGAGGGGGAAGGAATGGTCTGCTGCAGGACTGTGTATTTAAATTGGCGGACCGTTTTACTTCCCTGGAGCACTAGCGTCACTTTGCCTCTACAGTTTAAAAAAGTGGGTAAGATGAGGTAGCCTCCTTTACACAAGGAGTCCTTGTCTTGCCCAGAGCGTTGACTGAAGAGTCCCAAAGGTGAAAGAATGTTGTTGATGCCTCACTTCTCTTGACACTGATGCCCTTTAGCCGTCCCTAGCTTTCCAAGTTAGGGAGTTTTTGTTTTCCACTTTCAAAGTGCAAATTAACTGTTGAGATGTAAGATACTCCTTGCACTTTTCGCAGCTAACCCTGGTCTCGCCTTTCTGACTTGCCTGTTTGGAATGAATTAAATAGTTGAAGAAAGTGTGGGGAGATTGGGGGGGCTCCTGCCTTAAATCTGAACTTCCCTTGCAAGCAACTCTGCAGGCCATCCTGTATATCAGCAGGTAGCTGAGCCCCAACGGGGCAAGGTTTACTCCCGTCCTAGCCACAGCTCTCCACGGTTAGAGTACAGGAGAGGTGAATAGTAGATAACTTGCAGAATGGCTTGGAGTGTTTTAACAGGCTTACTGGGAGAGAAAAACTGTGTTCCCTCTTCTGTTTCTGGCCTCCATGCGTTGTGCTGATCTTATGCCAAATGTTTTGGACACCTTGTATTTTTAACTGTGTAATATAGCTGTGTATTGTTAAAGTAACTTAGTAACTTATAGCAAAACTGTAGAACTCATTTCTCTGAGGTGTAGGAAATGTCCTGCTTCCACTGTGTATGAGACTTAAACTCTGTACTGTCTGTAAAAGATGAAAATGCCGAATTTCACTTTAATAAATGATCTATCTAGCAATAAGGTCTACGTTCCCTTCTGTGTTTGCCTTTTCGGCATTTAGAATATTTGACTCCTGATCCGGTGGAGTTGTGCTTTGCATGGTTGTGTTGTGCCAGGCTTTTCTGATTCGCTCTCCTTTCTCCTTGCCTCCCTGGGCTGAGAATGTTGCAGACATGGAGGGGAGAACGGCCCTTGCTGGCTAGGGAACGTCAAGCCTGAAGTAGCAAAGTGAAGTGATAGGATATTTTATGACAAAGCTGTGTGGGTGGCATAGACACAAATCATGGAGTCTTTCGAATACAACCAAAAGACTTCACAAGCGAGATGGAATCAGCTGGAAAGCCTTGTTACCTTGTATTCTGGAGAACGCTGAGCTTTTCTATGTTTTTTTTTTTTTCCTCACCTATCATGAACTGTCAGTCAAGTGCAACAGCTCATCTGTTTCCTAATGAGTCTCCTTTATGTCTAGATCAAGCCTGTGCTTCTGCTTCCTTCGAAATTACACTCTTGGCCTTCTTCCACACATGACTTCAGCTGATGAGTTGGGTACTGCTCCAGAGCATTGCTGACAGGTAGCAACCCAGTGTTAAATCAGTTGAGCTGAGAGAGTCATTGATGTTCCCTTCTTTTCCTATGAGGTGCTTTATTTTGTTTAGTTTAATTTTTTTCCCATCCTGCTTTTTTTCCTGACCATCATATTTATAGGCAAAGGCTTTTTTGCTGTAGTGAGACAGTGATGCCAGAAGTTGGGCTTGAATACTTTGTTCTCCTGAACCGTGACATGGAATTTCCCAAGGCTGTGCTGGAATTATCTGAGGTATGTTTAGACTTCATTTTTAGGTAGGAAAGAGGCTGTAGTGTAGCTTTTCAGACTGCTGGGCTCTCATTAGAATGCTGAGAGACTGATACTCAAAATACATGACCTGAATGTATCATCACCAAATAAATTGCACTGTTGATATGCAGTAAAGATTTACATATATATATTTCTCACCTAAACAATCCCACAGCAATTACTCTCTCCTTATTCCTTGGTGCCATCTTATGGCAAACTGACCTGTCTGCTCATCAATTTTGAATTAATGGCGAGGGCTAAAACGTGCTCTGGAAGAAGGATGGCAGCTTGTGTTGCTGTAGTTCCTATTTGCTATGTGGCAGCTTCTAGCCATGCAGAACTTGTCTGTTTATACTGCCAGCCATGCCTGCACTTGCAGGAAATGCTTGGTCCCCCTTGTCCTACATCCCTGGGTAATAGCTTTCAATAGTGAGGGTGAGGGAGCAGGCATAGGAAGGGAAGGGACCTTGGGAAACTGGAGTAAATTGTGCAGATGCTTTACTCTGTTGTGGGAAGCGATCGGTGACTGGTATTTATGTGCGAGTCTAATGTTCCCTTAGCTAAAAGAGAGACCTGGATGTATTGGAGAGCTGGGAGAGACTGAACTGGCACTTCAGGAACAAATTCCAATGTCCGCAGTGCCTTGATTTGTGGACGTATCTGGAGGCTTTTGCAATGAAGCAGGATCTTGTGTGAGGTAGCATGCTGCTGTGCTCCTGAAGTATTGTCCCTCTCTCAGGAAGCTCTCAGTTGAAGAAGACAAGAGTAGAGATGCCACAGCCAAGCAGGGGAGCATCATGAAACAAGGAACAAGGGTGGATCACTTCACCGGACATCACCTGAGTGATAACAAAAGGAGGGGGGATGGCTGTAAGCAGCAGCCTGTTGTGCAGGTGCAATTTTTATCACAAGAAGGTGTACTGGGAAGTCCGGTGATATAAATAAGCTCTGCGGGTTAATCTGTTATTTATACACGCTAATAAGTAATGCTGCTTAATCTCATGCTGGCTCCCTGCCAAGAAACCCACAGACGATGTCATGCTCAAAATCAAGGAGGAATCTAATCAATCTCTTTTTAATATCTTTACACTGGGGAATTAGGCAAACATCAGGTTGATCTAATCGGCCTAAAACTGCACATCCCTCTCTCCTCTCCCTGCCACCGTGCGAGGGCAGTGTTAGCTCAGTAACCCAGGTGGTGGGTGCTGTGCAGCCAGCTGCACCTCTGAGCCCAGGGCTGTGTGCAGCTGGCGGAGGGACCAGAGCCATTTTCCTGTCCTGAAGATGGCTCCTCAGCAGGAGCTGGCTGTTCTTGTCAGATACCGGAAGTGGGATTATACTGTAGTGGGATGTGGAGATCATAAAAATCATTTTGTTTGGGTGTTTTTTCCTGGTGGAGATTGAAATTGAACATGTCCGATTCTCAGCATGAGCCTTCCTCTGGCCTCCTTGCAAGGTTGATATAAACCAGGCTTCAGTCTTTTTGCTCCCCAGCAAAAAGGGCAGCACAGAGGACTGGGGAAAAATGTGAATGTGGATTTAATGGTTTTATGTTTTAGAGATGTGGTCTAGCAGGCTGAGCGTGGAGGGGAGAGCCTTGGGGCAGGCTTTCCTTTTTTATTTCCCTCGTATCCAATACGGGATGACTGCACAGCTCTGCCAGCACTCAATCTCTCTCTGCCAGGAGCTGGAGCCGATTTCACATCTCTTATCCTCACAAGCAATGTTGGCTTCTGCCCTAAGTACCTTAAAGCTCCCTAATATGCTTTTACTTAATTGTTTTGGAAGGTTTTCCTTTCCTTTACATGTTTCAAGAAGCGCTCTGCGATGGCTGCAGCATCCTCAGCAGGGAGCACCAAGGTGGAAAAGAGCCACCCGCGTAGGGAAGAGCAGAGACTGCAAGACAGATAAGGAGGAAAGTGTCAGGTAGCTGAGATGGCTGTGCTACTCCTTCTCCTGCTACTGCCACAGGGTTAGAGCGTGTCCCTGAGACTACAAAGGGACCTGAGAGCACAGTGACCAGCACAGTTTTAGCAAGCTCCCTAACCCAGGCTGCTATCACAAAGCAGGGAGGAGGCTCTGAGTGCAAGAGGTGTGTGAACGTTACCTCTCTCTCTTCCTTACGCTGTGTGGGCAAGCCCTTTTTTAGAAAGGGGAACGCAGTGGGTTGCAGCCAGCTGTCCTGGAGCCGGCTCTTTCATAGTTCGGTTTGGTGTCTGTGTTTTTGCCAACTCCTGCGCCTGTTGAGCAGGCAGGAGGCCAGCAGCCATGGCCTGGCAGGCAGCCCTCAGCAATCTGATCCCCTCTGTTTGGTGGCTTGCCATCCAAAGCACAGGCCTTTCATTGGGCTGGGGTGGGAAAGGCAGGCGCCACATCCAGCCCCTCTGCATGGAGACATGAGGGAAACTGAGCCCAGCATCTTCTCAGCTTTGCATTGCCATAACAGCAACCAAGATCCCCATTGGCATCCCAAAATAGTGCTGTTCAGCTCTTCCTTTTCTGTGCTGAGCAGGTTGATGTTCTCATTGATCCAAGCCCGCCTGCCCAATGGAACCTTCCCCCCCACCCTACCCCGCCCTGGGAATTTCTACTGGTTTACTGGGCATAAGTCCTGGCCCTCACACAGAAAGCTGGGCTGAGATTCAGGAGCTGTTTGTGCTCTGTTGCTGGCCTTGACTCAGCTCTGCCCTCTGTGCCTCCGTTTTCCTGGGAATGAAGTGCAGGTTGAAGGCACAGTGGCACTGGCACAGGCACAGTGAGACCAGTGGGAGACCAGCAGAGCTTCTCTTCAAGGCAAACACAAACTCGAGTGCCAGTGGAAATGCAGTCCCTCCCTGGACAAGAGCGTCCTGCTTCCTTCTCCCCTTTTCTTCCTCCTGCTATCCCTGCTGCTCATCTGCCTCATCTGTCCTTCATGCATTCTACTCCCCAAAGCGGGTGTATCTCGACAAGGACTTCCCACCTCTTTATGCCGTGTTCCTTGAAAAAGAAGCCCAGAAGAGCATTGGATGTGGAATCAGTTGGCTTTAGCCGTACTCCGCTGGCTTAGTTCTTGGTTGTTTTGCTGGTGACTTGTTGAATGCAAGCCCAGATGTGAGTCTGAGTCTAGCTGATGAGCCTTTAGCGCAAAACCTGCTTCTGCAGTATCTCCATCAGGCATGGGACCAAAGTAGGGGGAGCTAATTAGTGAAGGCAAGCAGATCAAGGAGCTTTGATGTCGACACAAACTTTGAGTGCTAGCTTGGACTCATAACTGCTTCTGGCTTCTCAGTTTGGGAGCAGAGCTCCAGGCTGAGGCAATTAAACCAGCCTGCCCCTGCCCCTGCCCCTGCCCCTCCCTGGCTGCTCCTGCAGGTCAGTTACAGACCATGAGAATTTTGTCAAGGTAGCTGCAGCTTAAGGAAAAAATCCCTTTTCCTCTCAATTCCTCAGCTTTCAGCCACTAGTGATGCCACAGATTCTCTTAGTTCTCTGGTTACTGTGAAGTCTTTCCGGGTGGTCAGGACCTGAATTCCTAACGCTGAAGAACTAGCAGGCAAAAAGGAATCTTTGCGAGCAAGGACCTTCCCTGTCTCGATGATCTGTCGCAAGGAATCAGCAGGGCTCCAAATGCATGTTCTTGCTTTGCTGTCCCTCAACTTAAGCCTCTTTGGTAACTGCCTTCCTTGTCCTCCTCTCTCCAGTAAATATCCTCCTACCAATCCTCAGTTCCCACTTGTGCTCCAGCAGGCCCCTCTGGCTCTTTGGCCTATCTGAACCACAGGCTACTCAGGGCCAGCTCAGGGAGCTGCTACAGCAGCTCCCGCCTTGCTTTCACAATTTCAGCACTGAAGTAACGAGGAAAGGCAAAGCTTGTCCAGAAACACACAGCTCTGGAGATGGCACAGAGCCCTGCTGAGCAAAGTGCCCTTTTCTTTTCACCCCCTCTCCTGAACTATATGGCGCTTACTTTCCACAAGCCAGCCCCAGCTTCCACCCTGGACCTTAAACCCTGTCACTGCTCACTGCATAGGAAGCAGGTGGGCTGCTGTGCCACATGCATCACACAGTTTCACCTGAGGGCCATGCTGAGATGTCATGGCAGAAGGTCTTTAGGAAATCAGCAGCAAAGCGTCTACTGAAGGAGAAGGCACTTGCTAATGGCGTCGCTCCACCACCGTGCAGGGCAAGGATGAGT